TTATGCTCAAATAAATTTGTTAGTCTCTAAGGTGCCACAAGTACTCCTGTTCTCTATTTTGAGGAATTTGTGGATTTAATAAATTGTTCTGTTTTGTTTTCTCTCTAGGATGACATCTGCCGTAAAGTATTGACTGGCCCTGCATTTTCAGAATGTAATGCACTAGTTGAGGTTAGCGAGTACATTAAGTCTTGTGAACAAGACTTGTGCCGCTGTGACCAGTCTAAGAATGCCTTCTGTATTTGTAACACCTTTGGTGAATACTCCCGGCAGTGCGCCCATGCCGGTGGACAACCTCTGAACTGGAGAACCCCACAACTGTGTCGTAAGTGTCTCTAGAACTGGCCTTCATCTGTGCTTGCCAATTAGTCAGCGACAGATTCCTATAGTTTGTTGGGGACTCATGGGAACTAAATGTTATTAAGTACTGGATTGGTTTCCAGAGGGCTCTTATATGAATTCCATACTTCGGGCCAGATCCTGGGGTGCAGCTGATCTCCCCATGGTTAAACTGTGGTCATTAATATTTATCAATGTAAATTCTGGAGTTAAATTCCCCAGGGTATAATTGGATACTTCAGTGATTTCCACAGAACTCAAATATGCATATGCACTGGAAAATTAACGCTTCCAAATTTCACTAGAAATTTAGATTCTTGAAAAGAGGGGACAGCAAAACAAACGCGCCAGAGTATATGCCTCAGAGATCTGTGAGACAATTACTCATGAATCCATAGAATTCCAGACTTTAAGTCACAAATTCAGCATCATACAGTTCTATCTGACGCACAAGTTTTTGAAAAACACACCTAAACTACAAAATATGGATTGAGATTTCCAAAATCCAGGGGATCCTTGGACCTCGGGTTTGGTGTGGTCTCATCTCTAGTGGGGAAAGGTTGAATGAACATGCATTCTAATATGTAGCAAATGGGGATTACATTTGAATTCAGAAACCTGTCTTCCTTTAAAATTCCAGCCAAGAAGTGTCCTTTCAACATGCAGTACCAGGAATGTGGATCCCCCTGCACTGACACCTGCACCAACCCTGAAAGATCTCCTGTCTGTGACCATCACAGTATGGATGGCTGCTTCTGTCCCCCAGGCAAGTTTTTATTTACTCCCATCTTTCATAATCTCAATAAAGAGCACTAGCAGATTTACATGTAGGAGTTTAGTAGCTTTCTCAGGGGTCAGGGCTCCTCCAGCTGCCCTCTTCACGGCTTCAAGTGGTAGGCCTTTACCTGTGTACAACAAGTGACAAAACACGTGACTGAATAATTAATTTCCTGTAGATATGCAACATCTGCAAAGCAGTGAGGAACAATCAGGGACCAAAATAGAATATAAAATGCTACCCGTCTTATAGGAATGAGGTGGTTTTACTACAGCAATTCAGTATTATTCAATTGAATTCACCTTACAGGGCAGGAAACCCCTTGAAAGACCAATGGGATTTTAAGACTCCCAGGGCAAGACCCTCAGCTGGTGCAATTTGGCATAGCTCCCCTGACTTCAATGGAGCTATGACCATTTATGAGCTCCAAGACTGTATTTTATATTTGTAGTCAACTATTTAAAACAAGAAAAACTGCATATTGTCTATATGTGTAAAACACCTTTGTAATGTATCCGTTTCTTTCTTCATTTAGGAACTGTGCTTGATGACATTAACAATGCTGGCTGCATCCCCCTTTGGAAGTGCTCCTGTACTTACAATGGCAACTCTTACGCTCCAGGGACATCTTTTCATGCCCATTGCCATTCCTGGTAACTTACCTATTTTGCTGTTTCTTTTTTAGTAAAATGAATTAGTTTAATGGTTTATTATACACAATTTCATCATTAACCACCTCTGAGTGCATATTACTGACTTCCCTGCAATTCTAACAGAATCTCAAAAAAACAATGTTTGTCTCCTTTAGTGTCATTATTTAACAGGCTTTGCATTCTGACTCAAGTTAAAATAAGGATTTGTGATATATAGGTTTCTTACCTCTCCATTAAAATTCTCTCTCTTTGTTTGCTCCCTTGAAGTATTTTGACTTTTCCAAGACAAAAGAAACTGCAGCCACTCACTTATTTGCAAACATAGATTTCCCCTGAAGAAGCCAAGAATAATATGATGGGAACATCAGTAGCAAAACAACAAAACTTAATGACATTGTAACTCCTTTCCTCCAAGCTATTATCGCTGATTGTGATTAATTTCTCCGCTTTCCTTCCAGTACCTGCAATGGAGGCCAGTGGATTTGCACAGACATTCCATGCCCTGGATCTTGTACAGTAGAGGGAGGTTCACACATCTCCACATATGATGAAAAACGTTACAATGTCCATGGAGACTGCACTTATGTTTTGTCTAAGGTAAGCACCATCAGGTTTTAATAGGTCATAGGAGTGGGAGGGCTGCCTGAGTCAGGACTAGAGAAGCTAACCACACTTAGGAAAGAACATTGGAGAGTTTCCTGTTAAAGCAGAAGAGCACTGTATTGAGCGAGAATATACAACAATTCATGCAAAATGTATTAACTAGTTGTGATGTTGGGAGCAAGGTAAATACTGATGTATTTCAGATTCTAGGAGGTGGTAATTGTTGGTAAATGCTGAATATTTACAAGCAACTGCTGTATTTGGTCTATTTTCATAGCTGTCATACAATTCAACCCCCTTGCTGCGTGGCAACTGTTTTTGCCATGTTACTAGTCCTTGGTCATAACAGGTCAGGCAGGAAAAGATGGGGATAGAGAGTGAAGCGGAAGCACATTTTTTAGAGGGGGTTGAAACAAAACTTTGAGTCTAAACACCAGAACCAGATCCAAATTCTGTGACTAGTCCCAGTCTCTATCACTATAACACTAGTTCAAAATAGCCCTGAGCTTTGGTAAAGTTTGGACCAACCTCTAAAAAATAAATATTTTTCAGACCCGGGAACAAGCCTTTAAAGCAATAGTTGTTGGTATTGTTTTTTTCAGCACTGTAAAGATGACACATTCGCTGTTCTGGGAGAACTCCGCCCATGTGGCTTGACAGACACTGAGACATGCTTAAAGAAAATAGTCCTCAGCATTAATGGAGGACAAACTGTAAGTATCCAAAACAAGTAGTGAAAATGCTGCAGGAATATTTTATAAAAATGTGGGGAGCAAAAAGATTAAGCCAGAATGAGTCAGGGATAGAGCTTTGTTAATAATTGATTTTTCAATTCAGGTCAAAGGAAATGTTTCATTTGAGACAAAATGAAAAGATTTGTTTCGTTTTCAAGTTCTTTTATCTTTTAAAAAAATTAATAAAACTAAAGTTAAAAAGTCATTTGGAGTCAACAAATCTAAACAGTTCATTTTGAATGTCAGAATGAAAGGTTTAAACTTTTTTCTTTTATTGAAACTATTTAGCAAATGCGATATATTTGGAAAATGTTTGTCCACTTGAATCTGCATTTCTCAGCATAAAAAAAAGTTTAGTCTAGAAAATTTCACCCAGATCTAGTCAGGGAGTGGCATTTATCCTTCTAAGGATCTGCAGGTCTGGAAAATATGTATTAGTTTTTAAAACCAAGGTAAAATAAATGTATCTTTATTTATCATAATAGTGAGGTAAGTAGTATGTTCAGCCCTGTGTTAGTTCAGTCAGAAAAGATACTTTATTCACAAAACAGGAGAGAAGTTCTCTTACTATTAAGTAAACAATGACACCATGATCTTCTTGGCTTCTCCCTAAAACTACCAGCTGCACTAGATGTAAGTCAGTTCAGATACAGAGGCTCTGCATCACTGCAAACCAAGATAGCCTGACCACTGCTGCAGCTCTGTAAAGGACAAAGAATGATTCTTTAAAACAATTCCCTTTCTGAAGGGAAGGCAACCGAAGATTAAAAGGAAGGACAATTAAGATTTTAAAGGAAGGGTAAAAAAATCAGAAAACCAACCCCCTTTCATGAAATTCTTTATCATGCTGATATTACCAATGCATGACATATTGTTACTTTATCTTTATCTTCCTTGCCAGATCATTGTGTTCAAGCCTGGAGGTGGTGTGTTTGTGAATTGGATCTACACTCAGTTGCCCTTCTCAGCAGGTATGTTTCTCTCCCGGGGCCAATACGTGACACTCTCAAAACTTCACCTAGACTCCTGCTTATTATTTTAAACTTCAAAGGAGTTGATGTGATGTCTGTATAATGAAGAATCCCATAGCCTAGCATGTTCACACTAGATTCTCACTATGATGATTCTTGACCCAAATGGTGATTCCAGCAATAGAGGTCCAAAGTCTCATGATACATTACAGCCCGTTGTCCAACTTGTTAAGATATTAATTTGGTTTTTGCTGTCTATCCTCATAAAGAATGATCCTCGCTGAAGATTTTTATGCCACCCAGACCCTGCTCATTCTCCTCTCCACAATGGACTTGCAATGATCAAGATACGAGATTAGACACTAGAACAAAATTATTCTTGTTAATGCTTGATGTAATCCAATTTTTCCCTTCATTAGTCTGTGGGAAGGAACAGACAAAAGGAGCATTCTATTCCTGTGTAACTTTAATACAAACTTCACTTGCTAGCTCCTAGGCAGTCACAAGCAAATATTTCATTGTATTTTTCATTCAACTTTAAGCATATCTTGGCTTTACTCCACACTAGGGTTCACTATAGTTGCAACAGTAATCCAAGAAGAGCCATAAGAATGGGGTGTTGTTTCCAGCATTTGATCTCTTCTGAAATCTGATTATCCTGTTCTTTGTCCATAGCTAATGTCACCATTTTCAGACCCTCATCCTTCTTCATCATGGTGGAAACAAACTTTGGACTTCAACTGGAGATCCAACTTGTACCCATCATGCAAGCGTTTGTGCGACTGGATCCATCTTTCAAAGGGCAGACTTGCGGTAAGTGAATGTAACAAAACCAGTGTCCTGCCTGAAATCCTCATTGGTCTTGTATGAATGATTCAAACTTTGTGTTTTTTCAACAGGTCTCTGTGGAAACTTCAACAGTATTCAGACTGATGACTTCAAAGCCATAAGTGGTGTAGTGGAAGGAACAACAGCTGCATTTGTTAATACCTGGAAAACACAAGCTTCATGCCCTAACATCGAAAACAACTTTGAGAATCCTTGTGCCCTCAGCGTAGAAAATGGTAAATCCATTATAGAAAATTGTCCATGACATGCGGGCAATTTGAAATTAGATTTCTAGTTTTCCCTATAGAGCTAATGGAAAATACTTGACATAAAGCAAAAATTAGAAGAAATAAGAGATTTTAAACATGTTAAAACATACATTTGGAATCAGAAAGAAATGTTAATAAGAGAAGAAAATTAGAGAGAAGCTAAGTAATAAAATAAGTGCAAGAATCATGGATACTTTCCAACAACAGTTTATCTTCACAGATTTAGGTTTAGTGCATAAGATGACAACTTGGTGCAGAATGAGTGTACAATAGCTATATGTTTATAAGGCTTTGGTGAATTCTTTGTTCAATCCATGGTGAGAAACTGCTTTTTCATAACTTTGGCTTTAACAAGTCTTTGCCAAATGTTGCAGTGAGCAAAACAATGTGGTTGCTATGGTACAATTTCAGAATTGAGTTTACAAGAGATCATGAGTCACACAAGGGCACATTAGCACTAGGTTTTTGAGCCTAATGAAATAAAAAGAGTAATATGGATTTATTTCATTTCCTCTATTCACAGAAAAGTATGCTCAGCACTGGTGCGGATTGCTGACGGACAGCACAGGACCTTTTGCCAATTGCCACTTAACAGTGGATCCAGCTGTTTACCACACGGTACTTAGCTATTTTCCTTTTTCCTTTAAAAACCAATCAAAATTGGAGCCTTAAAACCAGCTGTTTGGAAAGAAATGTCCGAAACACTTCTCCCAGATTATGCTGTGTCTATATTTTAATCTGCATAATACATCACTTCTTTTTCTCTATATATGTTTCTTACTCTATGTGTATATTTCCTACCCTTATTTCAGTCTGCAGTCTTAGTTTCATCATCCTGAATTGCTTTTACACTCTTTGTTAAACAAGAACTGCTATTTGCCACAGAGCAAGAAAACCAAAATGTAAACATATAAAGAGGAAGTTATATATAAAGTATATAAAATATATGAATTCTATATAAATTTTTGCTTACTAAAGCATAATATCTTCAGAATAATCCATATATTTAGGTAAAATGGGAGATTACGAAGCATACAATAGATTCTTTGGCTCTTATTTTACAATAATAACTGCCAATATTTGGGGGTCTCCATTATCGCCATATCAAAAAAATCCTAAAAGGAGGTAGGAAAATATTAAAGATATGTTGACACTGCTCACAACTGAATGTATATGGAGAAGAAGCTGATACATAAGACCAGAAATTAACAGGACCTGTTTTTGGATGGGCAGTTCTGTGATGATTAATTAGTTTGTTTCTGCACCCCTAGAACTGTCTGTTTGACACCTGTAATTGTGAAAAGAGTGAGGACTGCATGTGTGCTGCCCTCTCTTCCTATGTGAGAGCCTGTGCTGCCAAAGGAGTCCAGCTGGAGGGATGGAGGACTGATGTCTGTTGTAAGTGTTATAGCCACTCCCTCGGTCTTCTATTCCGAAAGAACCAGTAGTAGAATTTATCTATCAATCATCATTTTATATCAATTTCTAGCCAATCCAGGGCTCTCCCAGTAAATTTTGAGGGAAAGGTATTGAAAAGTAAAATTCTAGCAATAATTCCCTATTTTTTTTAATGTAATGGAGGTTAGTTATGGTGAATACAGATGGAAGATACAGTTGTGGCTAGGAAAGAGACAACTGCTGCTGAAGGGGCTCTGACTCTCTCCGCAGAGGCATTAAGTTAACTAGAGTTTCATCTGTCACCGGTTACCATGGAAATTAATGTGTCAGATCACAGAAACAATATTAATTCTAAACAGAACACTTTATAAATAAAGAATGTTTAAACAAAGGGTTGTTGAAAGTCACCAAGCTGTTTTCTTTGATCCAACATGTCTGTTTCCAGTGCAGGAGTATTTATGTACCTCAGGAGGCCTCATGCCTCAGACTGCACCAAAGGTTTATAGGTTTCTGTTGTAACTGCCAACCTGATGTGTGGTTTCTCTTTCCAAATCTCATTTGAAAACATATCTTTTTTTCATTTGCATATATCACTTCATTTGTCCCCCATCTACTGTTACCTTTTTTTTTTTAATATAATGCTGTGCATTATTTAACTCTGAAAGCATGCTGGGATACATTTTGTCTGAAAAATGTGATACACAAAAAATTATATAGCATTGTTGTTTATGTTATTCACACTACATATTGCCCCTCTCTCCCCACCAAATAATATCTGGAACTAACAAATCTGTTAATGTAATTTTTGTTTTTGTTTTTCCTTCTCAAGCCAAATACACAACCTCGTGTCCCAAATCCTTGAGCTACAGCTATAACATCAGTTCCTGTCAACCCACTTGCCGGTCTCTGAGTGAGCCCGATGTCACATGTAACATCAGGTTCATTCCAGTTGATGGTTGCACCTGTGAAAAAGGAACCTACATGGATGAATATGGCAAATGTGTGTCTGCTAGTGAATGTCCTTGTTATTACAAAGGATCTCCCATTCTCTCTGGGGAAGTTGTTCATGAAGATGGTCTTGTATGGTAAGAGATTCTTTTATAAAACACTAAAGCTGCATTGTATAAACTTTCTAAATAAAAGAATACACCTCAGTTAAGCTGGCTGTACCCAGCCCTGCATGATTTTCAATACAATGCTCTGTCCACAGAATAGTTCTGTTAGACTATGAGAGCAGTGCATTTTTCCAGACATATGAGAACTATTGTATTTAGGCGAGATTCCTGTTGTATTCAATGATTTTTCCCAGCATAAAATACAAAAATACACAGTGAGAGGTTTATAGTATAATAAACATCAAACTCACCAGGAGACATTGTCTGTCACATTTTCGGTCACAATTTTTCCTGGACATCTATAGCCGAGATCATAGGGAAATACCACCAGCTGTTGGGTTGACAAGAAACTTTTTTCTGTAACCACAAGGTGGCATGTTAGAATTCCATGTCCTATTGGAAAGTTCTGTAACAGCAGAAAAGAAGCTCAGTATGTGGAGCTTAGAACAGAAGGCGCTACAGAAATACAAAATAATAAACAATAAATATTATTATTATTCCCTTCCATTTCTTACAGCACTTGTGCACGGGGTAAACTGAGCTGCATTGGAGCTGTGAACCAAAGCCCAGGTAAAAACCCTTCTTTAGCTTATCTTTGCTCTCTAGCCTGTCCTTGGTTTTGAGTACGTTTTCTCTTGGCGCAACAGAACAAAACTGAAACACACAGGAAAGTCAATAGGGTGGAAACTGTTGCTTAATTTCATCTACTATTTTTAAAATAAAACATCAGTCTATACAGTGTGACCAGTTAAAAAAAAAAAGCACACAAAAATTAACATGCAGGTAATGAAATAATAATTACATGTAATTTCTAAAAGATTATATAAATTTAAAACTGCTGCTTCCTAGGGAATTCATAGCGTCCTGTCACATAAGCCCCTGCGTTCTTTTTTTAATTGTACTGAATATGAAGAGCCTAGTCTCCTTATAGCAAATTGAAAACGTGTTATTGTTGTGCAAACTCTGGTGCCTTTTCTCATCTCTCTCATATCATTCTCTCCCCTAGTTTGTGCTCCTCCCATGGTCTACTTTGACTGCAGCAATGTCACTGCAGGCACCACTGGAGCCGAATGCCAGAAGAGCTGCCAGACGCTTGACATGCAGTGTGTAAGTATGAAGTGGCTGGACACTCCTGTACACTAGAACTATTCATTGTTCATAAATATAGTCCTGAAGCTGTAATACTGATAGTCTGTTGTTTGTGCAACGAAACCCTGGAAGCATGTTATGAAGCATTAACAATGGGATCACTAAAGGTCAAGTTCATGAGCAAATAAAAGTCAACTTTACTTGAATCTCTCACATAGGTACTGACTGGAGATGCATCAGACTTTGTAGATCTAATTCAGATAACAATACCTAGCAAGAACTAGTTCTCAGCAAAACATCCAGAAGTTTGTCATGTGCACAATCTGTTCAGTAGAAAATTACTGAATGTAATCTTGATTGAAATTGTTAATATTTTTTGTGCCATGATGCACTTTTTAATAATCTCTTACACATCCAATTATATTACAAAGGCTAGGAACATGATAACAGCCTGATTGGCTGTGTCATTTTATGAGACAGCATCACATGAGATAAATGGCAATCCAACTTAATGCATCAGAAAAAATGTATTAAACTATTATTTTTTTAACTTATCATCCTCTCAGACACAGATCAGCAGGTCCACAGGTTCATCAGCAAGTCAGGCTGGTACCCAATTCAATATCTTTCCCACTTTCACAATCCATAGACCACCTATGGAGACTGGGACACATGAAATGTTGATGTTTAGCAGGTTTTATCTTCCACTAAATCTTCCTTTAGCAACCAACCATATGTTTGAGCAAAATCCATATTTTCCTTCAAGCCATCTCTGATTTAAACTGCATGTAAATCAACAGTCCAGAGACAGGTTCTAAGAAGCTAATCTTACTCTCTCTCTACTTGAGTAAGTAAAAAGCAACAGAGGGTCCTGTGGCACCTTTAAGACTAACAGAAGTATTGGGAGCATAAGCTTTCGTGGGTAAGAACCTCACTTCTT